GGTTGAAGAGAACAGATTAGAGGCTTCCATGACTTGCTGAGACAAAACCCCCCCTCTCTGTTCACGTTTTCGGGATGGAGTTCAATCTCAATGGCTTCCCTAATGATGCGATCCATATAGCGGTTCTTGGTGGCGAGGATGGAAGTATTCTGAAGCTGAATACGGTGTCCCAGATCGATGCTGTGTTCAGCTACGGCGGACTTGTCCGGATGTTCGAGACGGATGTGCTGCTGATGCTCCTTGATCCTGATGTCCACGGAGTGGCCTGACTGCCCAATATAGACTTTGCCGCACTCTCATGGGATACTGTATACACCCGGTGTCTTTAGGCCGAGGCCATCTTTGACCGGCTGGAGGAAATTGGATAATTTGTTTGGAGGCAGATGCACTGCTTTGATGTTGTGCTGGGACAGCACTCTGCTGATACAGTTGAATATGGTCCGGACGTAGGGAAGGAAGGCGACTGAGCCTGGTTTGTCTTCAGGCTGGCTGTTGTTGGGCCGACGGTTGAGAACTCGTGGATCTGCCAGTTGTTGTATCCGTTCTTCTTGAATACATCCCTCAGGAGCACCAGCTCCGCATGTAGGCTGTCTTGATCACACAGAACACAGGGCTTCAGTATACCTCCATCCTCGCCACCAAGACCCGCTATATGGATCGCATCATTAGGGAAGCCATTGAGATTGAACTCCATCCCGAAAATATGAACAGAGAGGGGGGTTTTGTCTCAGCAAGTCATGGAAGCCTCTCATCTGTTCTCTTNTTTCTCTCCCCCAACCCAGAACCCTGCTTGTCCCAGCTCCTCCCCCCCTCTGGACACTACTGATTTCGCTTGTAGGCTTGCCCTTCCCCCCTTCATTCCCTTCCCTCACATAGCTGTGTATATTTCCAACACCCGTCTGGTTTTACCAGTTCTCATGGTCTCTTCGCTTGCGGATTTCTTATATATATTTCCTTCTCCCCTGAAGATGGAGGCGATACGTTCCTCCGAAACGTCGGTTAACACCACATATACATGGTGCCAAATCCCAGAAGACTGCCTTTTTCTGAAGTTTCTCTAGACACTTACAGTTTCTTGCTTGTTGCTTATGTTGTACCACTTCCATTTCCTTTTAAGTAGATCTAATATAGATGAAATTAAATACTGTGCAAACTGAACAGTTTTTCAGAGAAGTTCTATAGTAGCAAATAGCCTTACATAGTTACAGAACTGTTCACAGTTATTTACTGGTGCACTTATTCAAACCAAGAATTTAAATTACTGGACTTTGTAAACAAGTTCCAATGAATCCTGCAAAATATTTATCATGTGATAAACAAGTTTCAGTGTTACAAAGGATTCTGCATTCTCTTGCAACAAGGGTGCCAAGAATTGTATTGCAGAGAGCTGAAGAAATATTTCCTGCTGTGAGAAAGGTTTCTGTCTTGTGCTTGTGTGCACAAACAATAATTTCATTGTCACATGTTAGTTCTCATGCCCACAGAATCTAAAATTTTGTGTCTGGGGAGTTTCTTACCCTTGGTGTACACATTATAAGAGTTTGGCATTTTCTTTAGGAGAGGGATCATTTCAAGAAGAGTGATGTGGATAAGTCATGTAGCACACATGCTAGAGTGAGAAACGCATACAAAGTTTTGAATGGATAATCTGAGAGAAGCAGATCACTTGGGAGACTGAGTTGCATATGCAAAGGTGCTATTAAGATAGAGTAAAGAAAATAATTTTGGAGGTTTTTTACTGAGTCTGCTTGCCTTAGGTTACAGAGCTATGATGAGCATGAGTGATCACAGTAATGAGCCCTTACGTACACAAACTAACTCCCATGGAGCTGAGTCCTTGAGAAGGCAAGTTACAAGTTATGAAGCTCATCATTAATCAGTTTTAGATACGATAAAAACATAATTTCTGTACTGCCACATAGACCATTAATTTCTCAGGAAAGTCACAGAGCTATGAACCGAATAATTTATGATGATTTCGATAGTTGTAGAGAATATCATTACAAAATACCTGTTATGAGTTAGATATAATGAGAACCATATGAAGGAGAGCATATGCTTTTTAGTGTACAAGGGTTGGAACTTTAATAGTGGCAACACTGCTGTAGAGATGCCATGCAACGGAACCAAATAATGTTGCTTATACCACACGTTAGTTACATACCTACCTTACCTCAGAGCAAATGGACTCTCCCTTCCCACATCACGCTCATGGACAGTGATGAGAAGAACAGAGCCTTATGTGACCTGGCGGTCTAATGTAGTGTTGTCATAATGTTTTTGAAACAGGAACAACAGAGTTGGATAAAGATTGAATGTGCCAGGAACTGTACAGCACGACAGTGTCATCAGGGTCTTCAAGAGGCTTATTGGGGAATCTGCATTGCCTTTCAGAACAGTGGCAAGGAGGGTAAAAGCCTTCTGTGAGGGACCCAGAATGTGGCAGACATGCATTGGCCAGGTCGTCCTAGTGTCAGTGAAGGAGAAGTTATGCTCTTTCTGTGTTACTGGAGAGTGATCGATGCCATACAATTTGTGAGCTGGCCTTAGAGACAGGATTAGTGCATATGACTGTGCTTCACATTCTGAAGGATCACCTGGGCATGAGAAAAATTTCATCACGATGGGTTCTGCATGATTTGACGGAAATGCAGAAATGGCTATGATACGATGCTGCTCGAACCACTTGGAGCACTATGCACGCGAAGGAGAGGCTTTCTTATGCTGTATCATCACACTGGATGAGACATGGGCCAAACAAATCATATGAGCCACAAATGAAATGCCAGTCGAACGAATGGCATCATTATGGGTCACCACGAAAGTCAGAAGTTCATCAGAACCGCAGCAGTGTGAAAGTTATGGTGATTCTTGTGTATGACTGTGATGGTGTTATCCTAATGGGTACTGTTTCCCGACAGCAGACAGTCAGTGTGCAAAATTACTGTTCATTTTTGGAAGACAACCTGTGACCAGCTTTGAGAAAGAAGCAGCGACACTTTCTGCAGAACCCACCCATCATTTTGGAGGACAGTGCTCGGTGGCATGCAGCGCAAGCTGTGGCTGATTTGTTCGATCAGTGGGGCTGGGAAGTGCTGTACCATCCACTATACTCCCCGGACTTAAGCCCTTGTGACTTCGACTTGATTCCTGAGATGAAAGAACCACTTCGTGGCATTTGCTTCAGAACTGTTCCAGAGATTCTTCAGGCAGTAGACTGCTCTATTTGAACTATGAATACAACAGGCACTGCTAAAGGTATCCTACAACTTCCACATCGCTGGCAACGGGTTGTACACAATGCTGGTGACTACATTGAAGGACAGTAAAACTTCAAAACATGCATCTATTTCATATCAGTTGTAAATAAATAGTTGCCACTATTAAAGTTTCAACCCTCATATTTTGGTGTACATCCATTTCTGACAAAGGTGTGACAATTTTTACAGAACTACACAAATTCAGAGAACGTTTTAGTGTGTCCACATGGTGAGACATACCCAACACCTCATGATACAAATCAGGCCATGAATATAAAAGTGAAGGAAGGCTCAGATGCAGAAGAGGGAGATGATCCTGTCCCAGTAACATTTCCAGAAATAAAGGCTGAACCTGAGGTGAGCTCTATGTGCATTGTTAGGCAGATAACACAAATGTGCAGCAGTTCCGGTTGTCTTTCTGATCTCCAGCTCTGTCTGTACTCATGAAACAATTGCACTGTGATGCTGATTAGATTTTGAAGGCTTTTTCTTTTTCTGAAATGTGTCTAGGGAAGTGTAGGTTATTGAATGTTGCTTGTGATGTACCACTCCCATTTTCTTTTAAGCCAATATGATACAGATGAGATTAGATAATATGTAAACTGAAGAATGCTTGAGATAAATTCCATAGTAGGAAAAAACATGCACAATTTCCTTGTGCAGTGCTTTGATACTATGTCATGGGCTTCGCAGGATGTGTAAATGCTGATGATTATCATTTATTCATTTTCCATCTTCGATGCAGACTGTATCCATGTAATAACTTAAGAGTTGTCATTATGCTGAGGATTTGTAACTGTTTGACAGTTTATAGACATGTGTTGCCAGTTACTCTTTGTTTGAAGTAAATATAATGTAACGTGTCTGGAGTAGATACCTGCATGGAAACGCAATAACAATGGGCCATTGCGTAGGAAGTGCAGTATTTCCCGTTATTACTCAACGACAGTTCCTTACTATGATTTGTTGCTGTGGGAATTCCACAGTTTCCACCTATTCGTTGCCATGAAAGTGTCCGTTTCGATTGTAGTGGTTGTCGTGTAGATGGACGTAAGATAGCGCGTCACCATAATATACCTGACACTGTCGGAGTGCCATCTGGTGATTGGTTGTCATGAAAGATTTTTTTGTTATTTTCTATTGTACAGAAAGTACAGTGGCTAAACATTAGACACAGAGCACATGTAAGAGGCACAAAAACAGTACTGAAGAATCGGCATTTACAGCACATCCTGAAATATAGACACCATTATGGTCAGAATGAATGTAATTAAACATACAGAAAAGAGCTATTAATGAACATAAACAAATTTTCTACATATACATGTACAAGGAGGTTCTTATTTTGAGTATGAGTATGAGGGGTGAGCCATAAAAACCGGCACTCGCACTGTGTCCTTCAATGACCTATTGTGCTTCCCCTTTGGATTAACCCTTTATTAATCTGATTTGTTTCATTCTGGTCCGTCACACTAGCAATTACAATGACAGAAACAACACCATCCAGTGTGACTATTTAAGTTTTATCACTTAAAAACTCATCACCCTTACATGTTTTGATCCATATGGATGATCCTCAGAGGGCATCAGTACTTTTTCCGGGAACTACTATTACAATAGGTGCTAAATTATATCCATACACACGTAATGTCTGAAATACACAATGTACACAATGTTAAACTTTTCAGTCACAGCAGCCTTCCTGGTATTAAAATTTTTAAAGTTTTTTAAAAACTTTGTAGTTTAAGATTAAAATTTATAAACCATTCAGGTTTATGTCAATTCTGTTGTCTTTCTTGGAGGTGGCTGATCTTGTGCCACCTGTCTATCTTGCGAAAGGAGATTCTTAGTATTGTCCATGTTTATTCATGGCTTGCTGTGTTGTTTACACAGGAGAGGGGAGAGAACACTGGACACCCTCTCGCTGCAGATGCTCGCAGGGTCTCTCCAGACAATCTAGCACTTATATTCTTGCTTTCCAGTGTAGCACAGATCCAGCTGCATATTGCAGGCTCCATGCCATGCCTTTCAGCAGCATTTTCTGTCGTATCAAAAGAGGTTCCTGTACGTCAAGGAGTGCTCCAAGGGCAATATCCTTGTGTTCAATGGCATTTTATGTGCATGTAACCACATTATGCAGTGCAGTTTCAGTAGATTTTCCTATTTGGTAAGCATGTTGGTTTCGATGCAGAGAATGAATCTTCAATGCACTGTCCCTAATGTATCTATCTACTACTTTCTCCATCATTTTCAAAAGGAAAGACGACAGGCTGATAAGACGATAAGCTGTAGCCTCAGTATAATCACGTTTCCTGGGCTTTGGTATAAATGTCACTTTGACTTGCCTCCAGGCCGCAGGGATAAACCCATGTGCCATGCAGGCTCTGAATATGCGGCATAGGTGTGGGACTAAATGTTCCATCCCTTGCTGCAGAAGTGCTGGAAAAATTTCATATGTTCCCACAGACTTAAATTGTTTGAAGGTACCTAATGCCCATCTAATTTTTGATTGATTGGTTACCTGACCAGCCAGGTTCCAGTCTCCCCTGTGTCTACATATGCCCAGGTTCTGCTGGACCTGCCTGTCACCTGAATCATCACTCAGCTTTGAATCGGGGAAGTGAACTCTGAACAGTTCTTTGAGTGTCCCTTTCCCAGTTTGGGTATACTTACCATCAGGCAGCTTGATAGTACTGACCTTGTTGGTCGCCTGTTTTGCCATTACCCTCATGAGTATGACACTGCCTGGTACATCACTGATCTCCTGGCAGTACTTCCTCCATGAGGATCTCTTGGCTTTCCTTATTTCTTTATTATAACAGGTGAGGGTTTCCTTGTAGGTGTCCCACAGCCCTGTTCTTTTTGCTATATTAAATAGCTGTCTTGTTTTAGCTCTTAGCCCACTCAGCTTGTTATTCCACCAAAGTGCATTCCTTGGTAAGCGAGTGGTCTTGGCTGGACAATTATGAAAATAAGACAAGATCATGGCCTGTTGCAGCTGGTCAACAGATCGATCTATGTCCCTTATCATGCATACATTTCGCGAAATAATCTCCAGATTCACCTTTAGGTCGTCCTTCTATGACTCCCAATTGGTTCTCCTAGGATTCCTAAAGGTATTATTATTATTATTATTATTATTATTATTGGAGGGGGTGGGTTTCTCCATGCACTTAGACCAAGTATTGGTCCATTGTGTGTCCCCCTTTAATTTCTACTGTCCCCATCCCCTACCAGTAGATGGTGCGTGCTATCAGCCCCGTTGAGCCAACGAGGTTGGCCCTTGGTACCTTGATACTTCCCCCATCTACCAGAGGCATTGGAAACTACTTGGGTGTTAAAGTTTTACCTAATAATTTCACTCAGAGGTCTCCTAGAGACATGAGGTTCTTTTACGTGGCGTAAATCAATGACATGGGACCCACGGCTTAAAGTCCCTGCTGGAGGACTTGTTCCCTGAATTTTTCAGCCCTTAAAAATTCCACGACTTCCGCTGGGTTTGAACCCACGTACCTTGAGTCATGAGGTGGGAACGTTACCCCTAGACTACGGAGGCCACTGTTCCTAAAGGTAACTTGTTTTGTTGTTACCTTACCTATTTGAAAGCGTATATCTGTGGTCTGATAAAGACGGCTCGCCAGATACATGCCAATTACTTACCAGGTTTCCTATTTTATCTGTCCCTAGTGTCAAGTCAATAACCTCCTTCCTATTGTGGAACACAAAGGTTGGTTTGTTACCATGATTTATAATAGTCAGGTTTTAACTCACCAAAAATTCCACAAGGCTTTCTCCCCTTGGATTGGTGCCAGTGCTCCCCCACAAGATATGGTGTGCATTGGCATCACACCCAATGATGAGTTGCTTTTTCCTGCTGTAGCAGTAGTCTGTGATGTCCCTCATTTCCTTAGTGGCAGTTCATCTGAGTCATATGGAGGGTAGACTGAAGCAACCATCAGCTCCATGCAACCTCCTTGATACATGTATGTTATCCTCACCACTGTTGCATCCCTAGAACAGAGCTCCAGCAAAGGTAAGGCATTAATATGATCCCTGATATAAACACAGGATCCTGTATTATTACCAGGTGCCGCAGAGTAAACTGTTCACCTTGTATTGTTTAAATCTCTTATTTGATCCTTATATAACCAAGGTTCCTGAATAAGTGCTACATCTGCCTTTCCCTCGGCTAGCTGATGGCAGCTGGCATAAAGTTGCCGTGGTTGCTTTGCTGTGGTGTAGGTTAATTTGAAGGAATTTCATGTTATGTGTGTATTGTGTATGTGTAAATTGTTTACTATTCCTTCTTGGTCTCAGACTGGGTTCCCTTTGAGGGTGTCCCCTGATCTGCTTTACTTTGGTCTGAAGGAGTGGGTACATCATCCCCCTCCCCCTCGGAGCCTGATTTTTAAGATGCTGTGTTGATCACAGTTTCTTTTTGGTGCTGAGCCTCAGTGTCTTTCAGCACTTTAACAGTCCCCTTTGAGAGCCCTGTAATTATCTTATATCTGATCCTCTGTATAATGGTATAGGAGCCCCGGTCTATAAGTAGGGTAAGCCTCTGTCCTTTCGGCTCAGATTGCTTATCAAGTACTCTCCGGTGCTCAGTATGGAGTCCTGGATTAAGATGTGCAATCCAATTCAGTAGCTCTTCCTTTGTCCTTAATCCTGAGAGCCACCTTAACAGGCTTGGGTAGGTTCCTGGCATGCATAGCATTCAGCTTGGCCCATGATTCCAGCCTGTAATTGTCAATGGCTTTGATATGCCGTTTACCAGACTGTTGGTCAGCGCATATAAAAATAAGTGCCCCTCCCTCCAGACTGTAGGACTTCAGGTGTGGTAGTTCTCCTAATGGAGTCCTATGTAACAGCCCTCCCAGTATATCCAGAATGGAGTTCTGGTCATCTTCTGTTAGCTTATCTTTGGGATATGTTTCCCTGAAGATAGCTACCTTTATGTTGGTCACAGCCTCCTTGTAGATCCCTGGTCCCTTAGTGTCCCTGGGCCTTTTTGGAGCTCTGACTGTTTCTGTGGGGGTACTGCTCTCCGACCTTGGCCTCTTAAGGGCGCCAGTAGGGGTTTCTCTCTGCTTTGGTGAGCCTGCATTTCCTGGTTGCTGAATGCCCCCAGTTTCTGCTTTGCTTGCTCTAGCTCTTGCCTTCTTATGTTTCCATCTGGTACATCCAGACAGTGTCTTCTTTTCCAGACGGAGTCCACTTGCCCCAGAGACTAGGTGTCCCAGACCTTCTCCTACTGTAGGTATGCTAGAAGTACTAGGTCCCTGCAGTGGTATGTCAGTACTACTGACTCCCAAGGGAGTCTGGTTTTTGTTTTGGTACCTTTCATTTTGGTCCCA